CAAAACATAACATTGACTTTTGTATTTCCATAGGTGTTATGGCCGTGCATTGAAACTAATGTCTACATCTAATACGTGGTGTGATCTTGGAATTAATTATTATCGCCAGGCACAGCACCTATCAGAAACTGGCAACAACACGAATGATCTTCAAGAATTGTTGGAGAAATCTTTACAGGTATGATTTTGAAAATTTTTTATAAACTTTTTTAAAACTTACGGGCTTTTCTGAAAGATGTTTTTGATAAAGTAAATCTTGTAGTGTTTTTACATAAAACCACATTTCTCTTGATATAAATGCTGATATTCCAGGAAATAAAAATTTGTCTAATTTTACTTTTCAGTGTCTGAAAAAAGCCGTGAGACTTGACAGTAGTAATCACTTATACTGGAATGCTCTTGGTGTAGTTTCATGTTATAGTGGTAAGAATTGAGTAACACTTCAATATTTTTAGAAGATTGTCTATTTCAGTCAGTGAAGTTCAGTTTTATCAAAGTGTGTATTTTTCAGGTATTGAAAATTATGCCCTTGCTCAGCACTGTTTTATCAAGTCAATCCAGTCAGAACAAATTGTGAGTGTTTCTGTGTGTCTTATCTATAAAAAAGAAGTTCAAAATTTAGTATTAATAATTTTCTGAGACTGCCTTATAGACAAGGGACCTAATTTCGTATATGTGTGTGTTTTTTAGAATGCTGCTGCATGGACCAACTTGGGAGTGCTATACCTTGCAAGTGAAAAAATTGAGGTGAATATATCATCTGTTTTGTTGTATTAAAAGTAAAGAACATTTTCTATTTACGATCTCTTCATAATAGCTCAACTTCTTGTGGAGAAATACTTTGCACATTGTTAACTAGTATGCTCTCCAATTTGCTGCTCAGTGATTGATAACATTGTTTATTTTATTAAATAATGAATGTGTACGGTTTATTTTCCTGTCCTTGCCACAAGAAATTCCTGGTTTTGTAATTATGTTGGTTTTTCAATTAGACATTAAAACAATTCTACTGTGAATTATTTGGGTGTTTTTCTTTTTATATTCACATGTAAGAGGAGTCCCATGTAGGCTGTGTTGGGGGTGGTATGATAAAATAAGGGCAATGATTAGTAATCTTTAGAAGCTGAAATTTAACCTCTGCTTGGGTGATTTAGATTTGGCTTTAGCAGATATTAATCCCTGTACATGCCATGGTGTAATTTGTCATACTTGAACAGTTATATATTAGAGAATTGAAACTATAGTAACGGGGAGCATGTCTGTAGGTCATGTTTAGAAATTTCCACAAGTTTATAGATAATAGCACATCTGTACTGTTTTGTGTTTCAGTCAGTATATTGAATATCATCCTTTTAAAATAGCTTCAGTAATATTCTCAGGGATACCTGAGGTCACTGCAAAGATTGCTTTAGAAGATTGTAAATTCAATGAAGAAAAATACTGATTTGGATCTTAAAATATGTGAAAATATATTTTTGAAATGTAAACAAAGCCAGGTGTTAGTTAATAACTGTGAGTGTAATGTGGTAGCATGGCACAGTTACTGCCCATGAGCTTACTTTTTTATAAGAAAAACAAGTCTACTTCCTGCCACATGTAGGTGATTGGGAAAACAATATAAAGCAGCATATAATGGTAAGTTATTCTCTGTAGCAGAAAAAAAAAGCATGCAACTTACTGTGTCCAAGTAGGGTATCTTGAAAGTTCCCCGACTGCTTAGCACAGTATGTCGACCACTCCTTGTCACCCAGTAGCAGGTACGTGTCTCAGAACTCATTGTTAGTTGTTGTCTTCCCAGTTAAGCTCAAAGAGAAGGGAAAAGACACAGGTTTTCTCTAATTACTTCCATCAGACCTGTGGCTTACCAAATGGATAGGTCTTGGTTAAAAGGGCTGCAGACTATGAGTTAGAGTGCCTTTTCATTGAGGACCAGAATCCCTAAGCCTGTAAAGAAGCTGTCGTGCCCAGCACTGTTCCAGGACTGTGTAGCTGAAACATTGTTTTCAGCATTGCCGATTGTGCTTCAGCAGTGAAGGTTTAGGTTCATGCGTATTTACAGTGACAAATCTGACTGTCCTTATTCTTTTATTTTGTGCTTTTTAAATCTAAGCAATTTAATATTAAGTTTATAAAATGAGTTGATATGTGTTTTTTTTGTTTGTTTTTGCCTTTTTCCTCTAGCAAGCTCATGAAGCTTTCAAAATGGCTCAGTCCCTTGATCCAACTTATTTAATGTGCTGGATTGGACAAGTAAGCTATACAACATATATTTATGCATAACCTATGTTATAAATAACCTATTAATAGAAAGTGGTATAAATATCACGTTAGTATAAACAACGATGATAATAATGATAACAGGTAACATTGGAGGGCTCACTTTGTGCCAGTCACTGTGCTAGGTTCTTTGTATGTGGAAAATTGAAGCTCAGAGATGCCAGGTATCACTTCCAGGATCATACAGCTTGTAATGATTAAGCTTTGATTTGAGAGGCTTTGAGCACCGTCAGTCTGACATTATTATGTTTAAAAAATAAACCCAGAACTCAGCATACATTTGCTAAAAATAATGAACATTTACAGAGATCATTTTGATTACATTTTCTCATTTTCTGTAAAATCTTCATGTTTGATTTGGTACTTGTTTATGAGTGCCCACCCTCCTCCCCTACCCGCCACCCGCATAGTTTAGATTTTTGTACTGCCAAATAGGAATCAGGCTACTAGTCTGAGTCTGTCACTGACTGACTGTTTTACCTTAGCATACCACTGCTGGATTTCATTTTTCTCACCTGAAAAAGAAGGGGATTGGCCTGATTGGCCTCCAGGGTCTTCTGGTTGAGAAATGGTAATAAATTAGTAAGTGGTTGATTATTTCAGTTCAGAGAATAGTGGGAGCATTACCCATACTGAAAAATCATTAATCAGGGTTTAGATATCTTTTACTGTATTTTACCTTGGGTCTAATTCTGATTAATTAGTAAAACAAGCAGAGTTGGAAAAAGTAAACTCTTACTCCCATCAACTGGTAGCATTGGGGCAGTGGCATTACTACAGTAATCTCTATGTAAGTCTTTGGACCAAGGGGCCCCAAAATTTGCATTTCTAACTGCTCCCAAATGAGGAGGATGTTGCTGGTTCCAGGGACTTCACTCTGAGTAGCATGGCTATAGGTCAGTAGATCTTAGATGCTTATCAGAGTTACCTAAGTAATTTTGCCTTATTTTTCAATTATTTTTTATTCTCAAAGATAATTTATTTCAGGAGGTAACTAGTAGATTTAATTAAAAGTGATAACAATAGAAGTAAGACTTAATACTAAATTCTTAATTAGTAATGTGTGATACGTAAAAAACCCTGATTTCTTATAAAAGATAAATAAGCTTGAAAGTAATTTTAACTGTCACATAATCTATAAAGTCAAAAGCATAGATATAATTTTTAAAATACAGACAATTTTAAAAATAAACATGTTCTCACTCTACTGAGATCTATGGAAGCTGAATTTCTAGGAGTGAGGACCTCCTTTTTAAAAAGCTTTCCAGTTGAATCTGAGGTGATTCTACTTCAGACAAATACCAGTATGATTAGATCAAGGGTGAGGGGAAAGGGAGAAGGGAATTCATCAGTGTTCTGAGGAATTTTATGTGGATTTTTCCACCACTGCCTGGTTTCAAATGGAGTTCTGCAAGCATCTGTCAGCTTAAGGTCCAATTTAACAAGTTATTCTGGTCCTCTGAGCCAAGGGAACATGGTAGCCAAGATTGGAAAAGAAATTAACTTTGCTTTTAAGCACAGCTAGTGGTCCTTCCAAACAATTTCATTTATTATTATTATTCCTTGAAAACACATTAAGAACTTTTTTTTCCTTTTATAGGCTCTAATTGCAGAGACAGTTGGAAGTTATGACACCATGGACCTCTTCAGGCACACTACAGAGCTCAGTATGCATGTAAGAATTTGTTCATTCTTCAGAATTCATTAGTGAATAAAGTACTACCCTTGTTGAGAAAATGAATACATGGTGGTATCAGATGTTAATGACAGCACCATTCTTTCTTAGGAACAGGTTGCTGTCTTTAGAGAACTTCAAGAGCTGATGAATAAATGACATTGGGATTTAATAGATGCAGTAGTCACAAAGAATAGAAACTGAGACTCTGGGGAAAAAAAGTGAGATAAAAAACTAAATTTAGTTGACATTTCTGGATTATTTATGAAAGCATTTTAGAATTCTTTTGATTGATAATTATTCATTTGACCTATGGGAGTGGTGCTGAGAAGCAGCAAACCAACCCATCCATCAGGACTGTTTTCTGCTCTGTATTTATCCCATTTAATTCTTCTACTTAGATTTGAAGCAAGTGATTTAATTATGTTCTTAGCTATATTTTATCATAGGAACTCTTCATTTAAAGGCATTTAACAGTTGACTTAAAGAAAACTAAGATGTGATGTTTACTGTATTGAGGTGCATTGTTTCATTTTTTAATTTTTATTGGGATATTTATTACCCTATGTTCATATGTTAACTTTGGCACTTTTACAGACTGAAGGAGCAATAGGTTATGCATATTGGGTCTGTACAACATTGCAAGATAAAAGCAACAGAGAAACAGAGCTGTACCAGTACAACATCCTTCAGATGAATGCAATTCCAGCAGCACAGGTTGTTTTGAGTAAATACATAGGTAAGGCACCTGTTACATAATGGCAAGATATATGAATAACTGTCAAAATAATTTAAAGAGTTTAAATTAAATTTAAAGTTAATTCCAAATTAAATGCTAATTCTTTAAGATAGGAATTTGCACTTTCCTCACCAGTGACCAAGTATTCTGCGTTAGTAAACTTTAGTAAGGATTGTTGAAGAGCAATAAGAATTATTGTTATCTGATGATTCAAGATAGAAGTGATTTCCATGCTGTAGTAGAAGGCATTTTGGAGCTTAATGGGCCTTAATGCTTAGTTTTGTGATTTACTTTCTCTGAAGTCTTAGGCCAAGTATTTTACTTCCCTTAACATCTCTTAATCTTGAAAAGTAGAGATAACAATACTGAGGTTGCAGGGTTGTGAGAATTATATGAATATTATATGCTTCAGGTTCCAAACCCAGTGCCTTTAACATCCCCCTTTAGCACCTGCTCTTGCTTCAAGATACTGGAAAAGTATGTTTAGGCTTAGGAAAAGGACAGAATGCTGAAATTTTATTAACCATCTAGTGTAATAATTTCCATTCTTCCTTAATAAAACTAACATTGGGTTTCAGTCTCAGCTCCACCACTTAGCCAAATGAAATCTTGGGCTTTTTACCAAATTGAATTTCAGTCCTCCCTTCTATAACACAAGAGTGAAAATATGTATTGCTTAGGATTTAATGAGATATATGTACAAAACATTATGCAGAGTACCCAGCCTATCCTAGATGCTCAAGGAATGTTAGTTTCACTAGCATCTTATTTGTCCCTTGACAAAATTCTAATAAAGAAGCTAGGAGTTTAACAGAAATATTGACAGTTGAATAATCTGAAGAATCAGACAGACTGAAAAGTGGGAGAGAAAATGCCTCATCATTGTAATATGCAGGATGGTAACACTTGTGCACTGAGCCTGGGGCACTTGAGTAGAAGGCAGTTTCCAGACATCAGCACTTTGGGACATTAACATGTTATGCAATGTGCCAAAAGGAATGACTAGTGAATATCTAGAGCCTCTGAGAAAGTGTATGATCAGAAATTTTGATAGGTTTCCTTACAGATGGGAAACATTTGTAAAGGATTTATATAAAGAGGTAAAGCTTTAGCTTTCTGCAAAATTCAGCTACCTGGAACATGAACAAATCATTCCCTGACAATTATGCATAGCTAGGTTTTTGAGTCTGTAGTGGAGCCATATCATATATTCATTTATCGAACTTAACTATGTGTACTTGGCCAAAAAGTAAGTTAGAAGCAGGAAAAAGAGGGGCAGTGGACAAGAGAGAATGCAGATGAATTGTCTGTCCTGCTGTTTGCCTCAGGGTGAGTGTGGATGGAGGGCATAGATCTCTTACTCAGCTTGACTCAGTGTGGTGACCTGTCCTTGTGTGCTGACTTTAGGATTTTTCAAGAATCATTTTGACTATGTGATTTTCACACTATGCTTTGATGTTAGAACCTAACCATCACATAAGATGTGATTATACTATACTTTGTTTAACAGTTTAAAGGATTTGAAGGCTTGCTTCCCAATACAACTAAGTACATCAGATGTATTTCTTTCTTCATTAGTAGATACATGATATGTTTTGATATTAGAATTTCAAAATACTGCATTGAAAGGGCCCAAATCATCTTCTGTTTCTAGGGTACAATACTGAATTTTTTTTTAAAACATGGAAATTGAAGCAGAACCACCAAGAGAAATTGTTACTAAATTTAATCACAGAAAGGTTTAAGTGATTAGCCAAAGAACTGAATCTCCTTGTAATTCAAATGACTAGTTTTAACATGAGCTACGATTTCAAATTATTGTATCCTTGGAAATAAAAATATTCAAATTTTGAAACATAAGTAGAAACCATATGTAACTATAGATGTTATTCAATACTTTTAAAGAGTCATAAAATGATGATTGGTATTTTATAGTCATGATGAATTAGATTACTGTTCTTAGCAATGCCAGTGAAATCAGGAAATAGTCTGGTGTTTAAGATTTTGAAGCAATTGAAAGTAAAACTAATATTTTACAAACACAACCATCATGCACTTGAAAAGATATTTTTGGATTTCCAGAAAGAATTCAGAATTATGCTCCAGCTTTCACAATGTTGGGTTACTTAAATGAACATCTACAACTGAAAAAGGAAGCAGCAGCTGCATACCAAAGGTAAAGGCACCGTTTAATTGAAATTTGACCCTTATTTGTCATTTGGCCCTTTTAAAAAAACAGTCTCATTTTCATGAAGAAAGTACTGATAAAATATTCTGATTCTTTTCCTGATCTTTCATTATCTGTTATTATTACATCTTTGAAGGTAAAAAGATGCAGTTCCAAATTTTCAGCTGTAATTTGATTTCTTTTGCTCCTCCTGTGAGAGCAAGAGAGAGTGAGAAGAAAAAACAAGAACCAAATTAAAAAAAACCCATCGGATTTTATTTTAGAAAAATCTATCTCTTTAGACTTTGTCTAGCTTTATTAAATGTAATTATTTATTCAGAGAGAAATGAGAACATTATATATTGGTTTGAATCACTGTAATATCTACCATATAGTACTTATTCATTCAGTAAATACTTGTTGATCTGCTGTGTGCCAGGCAGTGTTCTTGGCACAGGCAACGTAGCTGTGAGTTTACACAGACATAGGCTCTCTTCTCACGGAGCCCGGGTTCTGGTTGTGGAGGCACATGGTAAGCTAATAAACATCTGGGACAGTAATAATTGCTAAGAAGGAAAATCAGAGCAGAGTAAAGGGCCAGACACTAGTGGCAAATAGGTTTAAGAGGGGTAGGTTTACTAAGGAGGCGGTTGAGTCTGGCCTGCAGGAAGCGAGGCCACAAGCCATTGGGTTATCAAGGCAAGAGCACTCCAGGCAGAGGGAACAGCGAGAGCAAGTACTCTAAACGGGGTGGACACGGCACGTTGAGGAGGCAAGGACGGTGTGCTCAGGTGGGACGACCAGCCAGGAGAGTGCAAGGAAATGAAGGTCAACTTGAAGTTTCATTCTCAACAAGTCAGTAGATCTGTGAATAAGAAAATTATTGGTCTTGTGAGTACTAGTTTAAAAGTTAAAAGACCTGATTAGCTCACCTCTGAGGCACATCATCATCCTAAATCTAAACAAGTAGATACTTGGAAGAAAACTTGTTAGATAAAAAAATAACCGAGATGTGTCCCAGATGCTTGCCATCGTGTACAGATCCCTCAGGCGCTCAGAGAAGCCATCACCAGATGGTGCTGGAGGCTGTGCAGTCAAGGCTTATTTTGCCAGGTGTATGTGGAAAGAGGTCTGTTTCTTTCAGTGTTACAATAAAGTTACCAGTAAAGAAACTGTATAAAAGTGATAGAATACAGCAGTGAGCACGATTTTCAGAGAACATTAAGCAGCTTTTGAATGCTTGCTACTCTTGTGGAGCGTACATTATAATTGCAAATATCGTGAGTCTAACGCTGCTTTGCTTAAAATGGCAACTCCACAGTCACTGGGATATGCACCACTTTTTCTTGACTGATCATCACTGTTTTCTGCCTTAAATGAGTGTTGGAGACTTGAAACTACAAATTAGGTATAAATCTAACTAGAGGTTTAATTTTTAATATAATACTATTTCTATAATACTGTCTATTAGACTTCTCTGCCAAATTTCTGTTTTTCATGTAACTTCAGGGGCATTAAAAGTTTTTCATAGTTATTTCTCCCTGGCTAATCTTTAAACAGAACACAAAACGAAACAAAACAATGAGCAGAAATTCTTATATCTGACTCCTATAGTTGCTGAGACATTTCCCTGCTTACCCACAGGGGACTGAGCATGAGAAGGTAAAAATATGTGCTGTCGGCATGTTGTGTTTATTCTAAGCCTCTTGGGACTCTTGGTGACTCATTCCCTTCTCTGAATTCAGAGTAGCCTAAATATTTTTCTGTATGTAACAGGTAAAGGCACATGAGAGCACTCCATTTCTTGGCTTCCTACCTCAAACTACTAGTATATAAATAATTTTAAGGGTGTTCTGTGTACCTCAGATTCTATATACTTCAAGTATTTCAAAATTTTAAAACATCAATACAGTTGTTTCCCATATTTAGATTAGAATTTTTGGATTATTTAGAACTCAAGTATGATAGATGATTTCATTTACTAAGAGGTCACTTTATTAAAGTTATTTTCCTGACAACCTAAAATCTAACTAAAAGTACGTTTGTGGTACCAATTTAATAAAATATGAATAAGCTGTATGGAACTAGTTAAACCATTAATAGAATTAAATGATGAAAACAAAAATCTGTAGATCCAGTTAAGGAGGAAGAGTAAAAGAATGCTGTTGCACATGGATAATTTAAATACTTGTCCTTTTTTTAAAGGGCAATTTTGTTATTACAGACTGCAGAAGACCGAGATACTTATAACGTTACAATGAGAAATTATGGCAGATTGTTATGGTAAGTATATTTTTTCCCATTAATTCTGTGAATCTGTTACATTTTCCTGGTGAAAGTTATGGGACTGGTGAGGTGATGTCCAGTTTCTAGAGTAGAGAGACATGTATAGATGAGTAGGATGGTGACATTCCCTGGAATACGTAATTCCCACCACACCAAGTGCTTC